ATTCCTTAGGATTTTCTAGATATAACATCTTATCACTTGCAAATAAAGATAGTTTTAGTTCCTCCTTTCCAGTCTGAATGCTTTTTCTTTCTTTTTCTTGCTTAATTGTCTGGGCTAGCACCTTGGTATAATGTTGGTAAAAGCAAACATTTGTGTCTTGTTCCTAATCTTGGGGGAAAGTTTTCAGTCTTTAACCACTAAGTATAATGTTAGTGTTCTTTCTATGTCTTTTAAAACCTGTTCAGATTTTATGTTTTATTATTCTATTATACATGGTAATAAAAAATTCAAATATGATACAATATAAAGATGAAAACAAAAACTCAAATTCCACTACCATCAACATACTTCAAAGTTTTTCATGCATTATGTATTTATATAGAAAATATAGATGACTTTACATAAAAATGAGCTATTTTGTGACCAGGGCTTTTTATTTTCCTCCACTCAATACTGTTTCATGGTCATCTTTCCATGCCTGTGACCTCAGATTTGCACCATCATTTAACAGCTGCCCGTGTTCTATTTTAAGGCTGAACTATCATTTATTTGAGCAACTCCCTCTTGATGAATGCTTGTTTCCCTTTCCCTCCCACTGTTATAAACAAGACTGTGATGAACATCCTTGTCATATTCTTCCCAACACTGTGTATTATTGCTAGGTCTTTCTGTTTCTGAGCTTGTTTTGGTTTTTTTTTTTTTTTTTCATCTTTGCCAGATGATCACTATAGACTGTGGGGCAGGGAACCAATCCAGTCACAATGGGGCTTTAGAAAGCCACCTCTGGCATTCATTCCCAACTGACTGTGTGGTGTTGGGCAAATCCTGTTCCTTGTCTGGGCCTCGATGTCTTCGCTTACAAATTGAAGAGATTCATCTAAATTACTGATTATCAAACTTGGCTGCATATTGAAGTCACCTGGGGAATTATAAAAAAACAAAACAAAACAAAACAAAAAACACCGAGTCCCACCCCAGGTGATTCTGGTTTAATTAGTATGGGGTATAGCCCAGGCAGCAGGATTTTAAAAATCTCCTTCAGACTAGATGATTTGAAGGTCCCTCTTTCAAATATTCTTCTGTAGTGGAGCTCTTACCTGGACACCCTCTCAGAGAGGCGCGAAGATGGAGCAGTGGAAAGATCCAGTCTTGGCGTCCAGCAGACCTGGGTTTGAATCTCAGCTCATTGGCTCCTAGCTGCGTGACCCTGCAACTCCTGTAAACTTCCATTTCCCTGCTCTTGGAGAGGGGGCTAAAATCCCCTCCCACCACTCAGCCTTTCTGCATGCAGAGGTGGTGTAGGTACTGCACACACGGAAAAAGTGGTGACTGTTGTTTTTTTTTCTTGACTAAAGAGCCAGCCCCTGGGCAACAAAGTGGAAATGGAGATCGTGAGCATGTTGGAAAAAAACACAACACTTCTCAAATTCGGCTACCACTTTACCCAGCAGGGACCCCGGCTCCGGGCATCCAACGCAATGATGAACAACAACGACCTTGGTGAGTGGAAATGTGCTTCCTGCCCTGCCCCGCTGCCTGTCATTCCCTCCACCTGTGCTGGGATGTCAGGGAAACTTCCACTGATACCCTCTCCGAGTCATCTTCTCGAGCCTAACTCTTGATTTTCATGTTGATCACATGTTCTTTGTTTTCTGTGTGTGTGCCTTGTCTCCTCCCTGGACTCTGAGCTCCCTGACTTCAGGAGCTAAGGCAGAGTCCTCTCCTTGCAGCACAGCTCAGCACTGGCTGGGCCCAGAGCACACAGCAGTGTGTTAGCAGAAGGAAGTGAAATTTGGGAAGGCACAAGGCTCCCGTGTGTCGTTTCCTCTTCTGATACCCTTCTCTGAACTCTTAGAATCCTCTCCAGATCATGCAGTCTGACTCTAGCTCCAAATCCCAAAGCCACCTACCAACACTACTACCAAAACCCCAAGCCCAGGAGACGTCATGTTGATTTTAAGGTAAAAGTTGAGAATGTCAACTTCATAGTAAAGTAAACGCAGGTTGTATGAAGTTAATCTCAGTTGAAGGCATAGTTTGATTTTTTTCTAAAAAGAAAAATAAGTGTGAGTGTTTCTTGATGGTGAGCATACATCAAATAGGTACACAAGTCAACTGAATGAAAAGTTAGATCAATCATTAACTTACCTCCAGGTGCCAATTGTTCACAAGCTCCGTGTAGCTATTAATTATGTGTATTCCTGCTGGCTGTTAAAAAGAGCTTGATACAGTGTACAATAGAGCAAGTATGACTGACAAGAGAGAAAAACAAAAACAAGAAAAGCAGTAGGTTTATATTATTAACATGATTGATGATTATATTTAGCCCTGAGTTTCCTAGAACCAAGGCAGGAGGAAGACAAGCCAAGTTACATTATTCTTATCACAGAAGAGAAAGAAGCATAATGAGTTGGAAAAATAAAAGCTTCTTTCTGGGATTACATTATGAAATAAATACGTGTTTTAAAGGAAAATGTCTTCATTGACTTTTTCATCAGATTCAAACTTGCTCTGCACAATGGCTCTTTCTAGTTTCCAACCCTCAGTAAAATGCAAAGAGCCTAATACTAAAGCTCAACTGAGTGTTCGGGAACGTCACTTCCTGGTGATGCATCTGAGGCTAGGTTCATACATGGAAGGCCTCGAAGAATGGAGATGAGTGTGTAGGGGTGTATGCACAAGGCAGGTGCACAGACCCTGTATGCATAGATAACCACAGAGCTACACACACTCACGGTCACACTCTTTAGACTGAATTACTCAAGTCCATGAACATTTGTCAAAGTCCTATAAGGCACTGCGTGTTGAAGATACAGGCTCCTGCTCTTAAACATATCACAGCCCAGAGGCTATTTATTCACTACTCACTCCAGATGCCACTTTTTTCCAGAGCCTCAGGTCTAGAAAAGCCCATTAAAAAACAAAATGTACCTAGACAGGTGTAGTGGCTCACACCTGTAATCCTAGCACTTTGGGAGGCCTAGGCAGAAGGATCATTTGAGGCTGGGAGTTTGAGACCAGCCTGGGCAACATAGCAAGATCCCATCTCTACAAAAATTTTTTTTAAAAATTAGCTGGGTATGGTGACACATGACTATAGTTCTGGCTACTCAGGAGGCTGAGGCAAGAGGATCACCTTGCTCGAGCCCAGGAGTTTGAAGCTGTAATGAGCTATGATCATGCCACTGCACCCCAGCCTGGGTGACAGAGTAAGACCCTGTCTCAAAAAAAGAAAAAAATGTGCCCAGCAACTTAGTTTATTGGAAGTGTCCTTATTTGAAATAAAATAAGAACAAATACTAAGAATCATAATTATCACTATCATATCACAGAGGTGATAGCTAGACCGAACTACTGAAAAAAGCCAGCAGTTGCAACTCTGTTGGCCTGGCTGTGATCTGGCTGCAAAACCAGCACTTAAAAGCCTGAGTTTTATCTGATATGCAATAATCTCATTCTTTTTTTTCCCAGTTTAGATTAAGCTTCTTACGTGCCCCTCGGGGCCTTTCTTTGGGCTAACCCAGCTTTTGTCTTCTGATGGCATGATAGTCTGGTGGTCTTTTTCCAGTTCCAGATGACCAGAGATCAGGCTGGGGGGCAGCTGGGATACCAGAATCTAGGGCTTGAACAAAATGGTCTTTTAGAACTCTCCCAGTTCTGAGAGTCTGAGATTCCAAAATTCAGGCCTGAATCCCATCACCCAGGACTCTCAGAGGCCATTGTTAGGAGTCTAGATTGCTAGACTCCTAACTAGATTGCTGGAGCTGGAAAGGGCTTAGAGCTTATTCCTCCAGCTCCTTATGGAGAAACTGAAGCCTTGAGGGTAGAGGGCGGTCTAGGCAATGGCTCAGTCAGGTCACACCAGTTGTTAGTACAGCAAACATTTTCTGAGCAACTTTTGTGTGCCCAGGACTGTGCTAGGTGATATAAGAAGTAGCAGAAAGTCTAGTTCTCTGACTCAAGAAGCTTTCATTCTTTTAGGGGGAAAAAAAGACTCAAAGACATGCCTAAAAATTTGAGAATGCCTATAAACTCTATCCAAACAGAGTGAGGAAGTGATTGATGAGGACAGAAGCCAGTTAGGCAAAGCACCCTGGTTGGGGGTGGGGTTTTTGCCATTCTTGAAAGGAAGAGCGGGTCGGTGGAGGAGGCCGAGAGGCATTTCTGCAGGAGCTCTAGAAAGGGGCAGGAAGGGGGTGCTGGGGTACAAGAACAAGGCAGTAGGACAGGGCCGGAGAGGCAGCAAGATCGAACAGGATTGGAGGAACTGCTGTGGGGAGTTAAACCTAGAAGGAAAAATCATTCACAAAGGGAGGGAAGGGCATTCCAAGTAGAGGGAACAGCACGAGCAAAGAGGACGGTAGGCAGCACGTGAGGTATTCACAAGGAACGGGGCTGGCCAGGTGTTGGGAGGCTGGGCCCGAGGCCTTTCATGCCAAGCTGGGGAGTGTGGCAATGGAAGCAGATGGGAGCTGGGAACTGTGGCAGTTTTCTGGACAGGGATGCCAGGTGGGGAAAATGGGCCTCTGGTTTACCTTGGAGAACTGTGTGCAGCTGCTCCCCCAGGGGTTTCTCACAGAGGGAATTAGAACAGAATCGTGTCAGTGACCACAGGTGGCATTCAGAGTGCTGGTTGGTGATGTGGGATTTAAAATCAAATTTGTGCCCATCTCCTAATTTTCATAAGAGAAACGCTTCTGATTCTGGTGCATTGGTTTCCTCCCGACTCTCTTTCCAATAGTGATTTTCATCCTGCTTGCAATGCTGCCATGAAGCAGACAGGCTTCCATGTTTTCCAGTTTTTGTATCATAAAAGCCTCCTGCCGCTCCTCTTTGGGACTGAGGTGGTTAGCAGCAGGGAGCAGGGATGGAGAAGGGAACAGGCCTCTTAGGTTTCCTTCTCACCCCTACCTGCCACTGTGCTGGCTCTGGGCCCCGGGGCTGGGGCCTCTGCAGTGCTTGGGCCTTGCCTGCCAGAGGTGGGTGGGCTCCTCCTGCCTCTACAGACAGGCGGCCTGCCTGGGGCCCATACCGACTGGTGCATCTTTGGTCCTCCCACCCTGTGCACTGAGCTCTTAACAGAGTGATCTGCGTGTGAGTGCAAGTGCGGGGGTGTCAGGGAGGAGCGAGCCGGGGATCCCTATCTGCCATTCCCCACAGCAATACCTCGGATGACTCCTATCTCCACACTATTTATAGCTAAGAGCTGGGCTAAGCGTGGCTCTCAGGTCCTCTAAATCTGCCACTGAAGCTCTCTCGACTTAACAAAGTCTGAGTTGGAGCCTACAGCTTAAGACAGTTGTGTGGGGTGAGGTGGGGTGTGAAGGGGAAGGGAGTAACATGTTTAAAAGCAGCAAACATCCCTTCCTGGGAAGTTGCTCTTTTACGGTATTCTCGGGCAAGACCTTTCTAACAAGCACCCCAGACACGGCACACCCTAGAGCAATTTCTTTTAAAATTTTATTGTAAATTGACAATTTATAACTGTATATATTTATGGGGTGCAAAGTGATGTTATGGTTTATGAATACAACGTGGAATAATTTAAATCGAGCTAATTAACATATTACCTCAAATACCATTTTTTGTGGTGGAGAGGACATTTGACATTTACTCTCGTAGCAGGTTTGAAATGTACAATACACTATTGTTAAATATATTCACCATGTTGTGTAATAGATCTCCCAGAAAACCTTACTCCTCTTGTCCAAATGAGATTTCGTGTCCTTTGACCATCATCTCCCTGTCCCCTACCCCTCAGCCTCTGTGACCGCCATTCTGCTCCCTACTCTAGAGTTCGATCGCTTTAGATTTCACATATAATTTGTCTTTCTGTGCCTGGCTTATTTCACTTAGCATAATTTTCTCCAATTCTATTTATATTATTGGAAGTGACTGGATTTCTTTTGGTTTTAAGGCTGAATGGTATTCTCCTGTGTATATACACACAGTTTCTTTATCCATTCATCTGTCGATGGACACTTCGGTTGAGTCCTTATCTTGGCTCTTGGGAAGAAGGCTGCAATGAATGCGGAAGTGAAACGCCTCTTTGACAAACTGATTTCAAATCTTTTGGGCAAATACCCAGAAGTGGGGTTGCTGGATCCCAAATCAGTTTCATCATATCCCCCTAAAATCATGCCAGGAAAGGGCCCTCCTTTCCTCACAGTCACCCAAGCCAGAAATCTGGGCCTGTCCTAGACGCTGCCCCCTCCCAAGCCGGCTGGTCACCTCCTCACCAGTCCCAGCGCCTGTCTCATGTCACACCCTCATCACATTCACCCAGCCTCCGGCACTCTTCCCAAGTCTCGCCCCAAAGCTTGCCTTGCCGCTCCTCTGCTTGGACCCCTGGCTGGGCTCCCACTGCTTTCAGGGAGACCCTTCAAAGTGGCTCCCAAGTCCCTTAATGATGGTAGCTGATTCTTACATGGTCCTCGTGTGTCGGGCTGTTCCGAACCCTTCCCATCTTACGAACTCATGTAATCCTCCCCACAACCAGGTGAGACAGGTGCTATTACTATCGCATTTTACAGTAAGGAAACAGGTCTGAAGAAGTAGGTAAGTTACCCACAGTCAGTGAGCAGAACTGGGATTTGAACCAGAGCCTGTGCTTTCCACCTCGTCAAGAGATGGTCCCACCAGGAGGTTATCTCTTGACACCCCTGACAAGCCGTCCTCTTGCCATGTTAGTACCATTCCAGGTAGCTCGAGGACCCCCAAGTGAGCCAGGGAAAAGCTTACATTTTGAGGGCTGTTACTCCTAATGCCCCCTCTACTTTCTCATCCTTTCGTTAGGTGAGATTCCGCTGACCTCTTACCTGCTCATCCCAGGACGATCTGACCACTTCCTTCGTTATGCCTCTCATACCTCACAGAGATCTGCCAGGGTGCCTGTAACGTTCTATCAAACATTGCGTATATCTTGGTCCCTGTTATGCTGCATCCTTATTTCTGATCCTTGTGCTTGGCACCTAACAGCACTCAGTCAAGGCTGCAGAATGTAGAGATGACTAGGCAGTGCCTCCCACAGACATGGTGTAAGTGTGCACGCTTGGCAGGAAGTGGCAGAGGGAGCTCACGCAGCAGATGGAGGTTGGTCCGGTCCACGGAAGGAGGATATTGGGAGACCCAGCTTCTAGTCTCAGTTCTGTCACTTATTCACCATAACTTTGGGCAAGTTACTCCCCTCTCTTGGCCTTAATTCCTTCATCATTAAAATGAGAAGAAATAATACCTGAGTAAATGGATGTTTTTCCCTTCACCCCATGCAGTCCCTGTAAAAGCCAGTGCTAGGGGAACTGTGCACACAGATCTGCACACAATGAGGCAAGTAATGGGAAAAAACCCAAAACAAAATAACAAAAAGATGAGGTCCCTTTCTGTACCTTCAACCATGGGCCAGAGACTTGGGCTTCAGTCCCGGCTCTGCCACTAGTTCTCAGAGACTGAGGCACTTTTCTTCTCTGGGGAAAAGGAGCCAGCCCTCCCGCTGAGAATCAGATTGGCTGTGGATATGCAGAGCCTACACTGACGAGGCCGAATTGTCCTGAGGGCGTGCTGGGCTGAGGCTGTAGATAAGTCACACGCCTGGGCTCTGTCCGGGACTAGCTTTCTTACTTTAAGCATGAGATGCGCCCTGTCTGCCTCGCCTTCCTCATCCATAACATGGGAATGGGAACAGGACCATTCCAGAAGTGTTGGAGGGGCTCCAGTGACATGGTGAGGACTGCTCTGCTGGGCATGCTTGCACAGTTAACATGGAGATGCTTAAAGTCTGGTCCATGCAAGCTCTCTAGTCACTTTGAGCAAAAGTCTTCTGCTTTTCGATTGTGGTTTTTGTTTCCCTACATCTACCCCCAAGATGTTGGACATTCTGATCATCTCCAGGAATAGGGCTGGGCAGTGTCTTCTCTGGGCAGGAGATTGATTGCCCATTCTGACTTACATTAATTATACTTCTTCCCAGGGTGGGGGGATGGGTAGCGGCTCAGGCACAGGCTGAACTGTAGTCCCCACACTGGGCAGCCTGTGTGCCTCTGAGAACTTACCCACAAACTCCTAGCCACAACTTGAGTGACACACCTCCCTGTGGGTCTGCTTTATATGCTCAGTGTCAGGCACAAGCTGATTCGGTTCTTGTTGCAGCTCATATGCATCGATCCGGTGGCCACAGGTCTATCATCTCAGCTCGAACTGGAAGACCTCTAAGTATAGACAGACTTTTTTCCCTGAGCAATAACTTCCTGTCTCTGCCACACCAGCAGGTCCCCTGACTGCCACCTACTGGCTCTACAGACTTCTTTACCCTTTCTTTCCCTATGGCTGATCTAGCTTGCTACTTGGTCTTCATCAGCAGACACTAATTCATTTCAAAACACTGTCTTTAGTTAAAACAGAGGGACCTTCCTCCCGTCCCTCCCCCCTTCCTCAGTTGCCCTCTAAGCCAGCAAGCTCCTGGCTGGTGCTTTCCTCTTTATGGCATTTAATTCTTTGTCATGTGAACAGTGTCTAAGCATAAATTGTCTTGCCCCTGGGAAATAGCAAGGTTAAACATAAGGGGACACAGATACTGCAGGGTAATCTTCAGGGTGGAAACTATTGTTTACACAAGCAGGAGGCAGGCCAGGCGCTCTCAGAGCTGGGGAAAATGCTTCCACTAGGTTAAGACCCTACTCTCATTAAGATCAACTGAGCTTTTTTAACTCTTATCTGAACCACAGTAAAGATCTTCAACCGTGGGGCTTCTGGAGGCGAAGGAAGAACAGTGGAGTTGGGTAAAGTACGACTGCTACACCACCACAAACCCTCGCCAGTGAACACCGATTAACTGGACGGTTGTTAAACAACTCACACATCACTGTCCTTTCAAAACAACAGACTTCAGACTCTACTAACAAAAAAGTTAGCAAGAGGCTTCAGGGTGCTTTCTCAGAGCAACAGTGGTAGTTCCTGGTCAATAGGGACAAATGGCTCATATCTTATCTCCATTCCTTTGCAGTGAGGAAAAGGAGGCTCGCCGACCTGACTGGGCCCATCATTCCCAAGTGCCGGAGTGGCGTCTAAGTATGCGGAGGTGAAGACCATGCCTTTGAACTGGACGTGTTTTACCGACAACCTGTGCTCTGCAGTGGAAACCAGAAGGCAAAACGCCGGCACAAAACCCTTTTGTGGTTCAGTTCTTTATGCACTAAGGTTTTAGGTTTACTAGTGGTTGTAGTTGAAAATTTTATAAAATATGGTTAATGTGAAGTTTTTCTTTAGTCACAGAAGTTCAGTCTGGTTTTATTTAAAAATTGAGAATCCCTCAAACTGGCGGATCTCACTGAAGATGATGTAGTAGCAGTGACTTAACCCCAGGAGCTCAGTTTCCATGGCCTTGATGTGTAGTGTTTCAGGTCCATTTAAAATGGGTGACACATAAACAAGCAGCACACTCTTCCACATGACTTAGAAGTATTATAAAATACTTTATTACAGATTTGATCTTAGCTATTTAGCAAACAGAATAATCATTTTTTATTAACCCTCCTTTAAAATTTAAAAAAATTCAAAATTAAAGTTGCCAAACTGATTACTAGATCAAGAACACAATTTTACCCTCAAGAAAGACAGACAGACTGAAGCCACAGAGCTCTGCCAGGAATCAAAGAACATGTCCTTTTGCTGGATATGAGGAAATGACAGAAAAAGCCAATGGTGAAATTTCAAGTTTCAAAAACCATCCTTTCCTTGCCAATCCCAGGCAACAAACATGTCCCTGAGTGTTCTTTAGGAACATCTGGTATTTATTTACAATTTAATACTGGAGTCAGAAAGAATGTTTTTCCTTATCGAATGCCAGCCTTACAATGGATGTGAAAACCTATGGCCAAATACTTGAAAACCCCTTTCTACATTGCACAGTGGGCACACGGCACACGTGAGGTCAACACAAGAGACAGATCTCCAGTCCATCACGGCTATGGAATTTAGCAGGACCAAGCATGCAGACTTCAGCTACCTGTCTCGTCACTTATTAGACAAATCACCATTAATTTTATGCCTGTAAATTAAGCCTCAGAGGGACAATGGTGAAGAAAATCCAGGTATTAAAGAATTAGGAAATCTTGGCCAAAGCACCCCAAGATGATTATTCTGAAAGTGTAATTTTGATATTTCTGCTGGATCCCTTTCTAACAACATATGCGTCTCTTGGGATCCAGCAAAAAGCCACATTGCCCTTGTGCCTTTTAATATACCACAGTGCCAGTTAAACCAGTATTTCTGTCTGTTGCTCTGGGGAGTTGTTTTCAATAGTGGTTCAGCAAATCCTGTGATAAAGGACAAGGCCACAGAGCTGCAGAGCACTGAGCAGAGAGGCTTCTGATGAAAAAGGAAAAGTCCTGCACACTGAACTGTGATGACGTGGGCAGTACAGGAGAACTAGGGGTGGAGCCGGGGCCTCACCACTATGGAAGAGTGTCTACTGAGGCTGCAAATGGGCCCAGGAGTGGCATCCTGCTGCAGGAATGACCATCCCCCTCGGCTTCTCCTTGAAACACAACTGCAGCTGCGTTCTGCATCACTGGAAACTGCAACGTAATATTAAATCTGTTGGTCTATGTATGGCATGGTATGTGTTTCTCGGGACCTGTGTGACAGGGACTTGTGCCTGGCACACTGGCTGAAAGGCTGGGCAGCCACCATGGCAGTACTGAATGACCTCACTAAAAATGTGTCTTGTATCCCAGGTGCTGATCTAAAAATTTCTGCCCAAATGTCAGTGTCATTGAGCTTATCTGAATCTCACAAAGAGAACGCTTAAAAGCTAAGAGAGTGAGTGGTGGGGGAAGCAGGAGGATTAGGGGAAATCTCTCACAGAAACCACATCAATAAAAAATGAACAGGGGCCACATCTTTAAGGCCATCTCCATCAGATAAGCTGTTGATCTAGAGCAGGGGTTGGTAAACTTTCCTGTAAAGGGCCAGACAGTAACTACTTCAGATTTTGCAGGCCACGAGGTCTCTGTTGCAACTACTCAATTCTGCCATAGATCCTATGTAAAGGAATGGGTGTGGCTGTTCCAATAACTGTACAGCTGACCCTGGAACAACAAAGATTTGAACTGTGTGGGTCCACTTAGATGTTGATTTTGTTTAACCAAACATGGATTGAAAATACAGGATGCGAAACCTGCGTTTATGGATGGCTTTTTGCATACACAAGTTCTGCAGGGCCTACTATGGGACTGGAGGGTGCACGGATTTTGGTGTACTTGGCTGTCCTGGAACCATCCCCCATGTACACCAAGGGATGACTGTATCTACAAAAGCAGGAGGTGGGCCAAATGCCACAGCTAGCAGATCCCCTCAGGCTGTTGGAGAAGAGACAGAGGTAGGGGTAGATGGCAGATGACCTAAGTGGCCTGGTTTACAAGTTCTCTCCAGGGCCACAGCTTTCACATGTCTGCCATCAGGAAAGACAGATTTGCTGACAAGGACTACTTACAGTTCTGCTGCACGGCAGAGAAAGGGCATGTCCTGGTCACCAGGCTCAAGGCTCCATCCCTCAGCATCTCTGTGGTCCCACATAGCTTAGCGTTTTTCTGTGCTCTAGGATCTTCTTAATCAGAATGTTGCAGGTAAGTGATCAACATTCGACTCCCTGTCCCTTTCCCCTGTGAAGTGCAGGTGGCCAATACAGTGACCAGTATGCCACGGTGGCATAGTCCAGCACAAGTTCTGATTTCTCTGTTTCTGCAGCCTTGACATTCTTCTACATGTAGTCACCCCAAACTACTTTTACTGAAGGCTCGGGGAATGCCGAATGTGCTGCTCACACAAGGCACGGCCCATCCTCACCAACAGCAGGCCCTGGCTCTGGGTTCCCAGGGAGGAGCAGCTGCTGTGAGAGCTCCCTGGGTATGCGCGGCCGCCGGGCTGTACAGTCACATTCTTCTTTAAAGCTGTCCTGGGTAGGGCCTGAAGCCTTCCTGCTCCCTTTGTCTTGACACGTGACACAACAGGCTGTGAATCCTTGTCCTTGACAGGGAGGGCAGGTCAAAACGAGCTGGCGGCACTGGGGAGTTGAGCAGAGTTTATACTGGTCCCACTGGGCTCCACAGTATGAACATTCTGTGGAAGAAAGAAAAGCTCTCATTATAAACACATAGACACACACATAGACAGGCACTTCTCCAATTCCTAAATATAACTCTTAGCTGACCAGAATCTAATATATCCTGTTGGGCCTAGGGAAAGTTTCTAAATAGTAAGCTTCCTGTAGTTGAACAAAAACCCTCCCCTGCCCCCTTCCCTCAGCACCAGTTTATTTTGGGGGTGGGTGGGGCTGCTTTTGGGAATTATCTTTCTGATTCTAGTATCCACTGAGCCATTTTTCTTTTTCCCATCTAGAAAACAGGTAGTAATATTTCTCTTTCATTAGCTATTCTGAAGCTGGCCAACCACCCCTACTCCCACCCCTTTGTTAAATGGTCTTTTCTCCTTAGATCATTCCCTTTTCCAGTGGGGACAACACAGACAGATGATGCCACATGTACACTGAACTTCTGCAGTCCACACCCCACTCCCCATGCCTGAGTCTCTCCTGCTGTTGCTAGGACATGTGACCACCTAATTCCTAAAACTCACATTATCATCTTTCTCTACCTGTTTTTCCCTGCTCACTTCCTGTCACCATTGCTCACACCCTTCTTCCTCAAGCCTCCTTACTATTTACCTAAGCTACCTCTGGCTCTCCTTCTCTCCTCTTCATACTCACACGCAGGTGCCCATCAAGTCCTGCCAGTATTTCCTTGGTAAAATCTCTCAAATCCACTTTTTCTGCTTATTTAAAATTTGTACTCCATCTAGCTCCAAAACAGAACTACTTCTTATTGAAGTAGTTTTCAATAAGAGACAAATACAAGACCACTAAAATGAACAAAAAGATCAAGAAGGAAGGGGAGGCCAGGTGTGGTAGCTCATGCCTATAATCCCAGCACTTCGGGAGGCCAAGGCAGGAGGACTACTTAAAGCCAGGAGTTCAAGACCAGCCTGGGTAACACGGCAAGACTCTGTCTCTATAAACAAATTTTTTTTTAATTTTTATTTTTATTTCAAAATATTAAGGGTGTACAAAGTTTCTGTTACATGGATATACTCTATAATGCTGAAGTCAGGGGTTTCAGTGTGCCCGCCAGTAGGACAGTGTTCATTGTACCCAACAGGTTAAGTTTTCATCCCTTACTCCCCTCGCACCCTCCCCTTCTTAGTTTCTAATGTCCTTTACATCTTTTTGTGTCCAGGTGCACCCATCGTTTAGCTCCCACTTATCAGTGAGAACATGTGGTATTTGTTTTTCCATTCCTGAGATATTTCACTTAGGATAATGGCCTCTAGTTTCATCCAAGTTGCAGCGAAAGACATTATTTCACTCCTTTTTTCCTTCTTATGGCTGAATAGTACTCCATAGTATATATATATACCACATTTTTACAAAAAAATTTTCCAAAATTAGCTGGTCGTGGTGGCAATGCCTGTAGTCCTAGCTATCTGAGAGGCTGAGGCAGGAGGATTGCTTGAACCCAGGAGTTTGAGGCTACAGTGAGCTATGATCTTGCCACTGCACTCTAGCCTGAGTGACAGAGCAAGACCATGTCTCAAAAAACAAACAAAAAAAAAAGGAAAGGAGAGGACAGTTAAACTCAAATCTTGCCCATTATCTGAGAAGTAATTCTACCTCAGTCCCTGATTACAGGAGTTCTAGAAAACTGTAGCCACCACCAAGGTTGTCTGCCTGTGACCTATTCCATTCCGAAACATGGCGTCCAGGGGCAGAAGCCATCTTTCTGAAGGATCATTTCCAGCCTTCTTTCATCTTCATCTGGTATCACACTCAGTGTGGGCTCAACACTACTGCCACACCACAGGCTTCCTGTGGCCACCCTGCCTCCAGCTCTGGCCCTAGGTTCAGTTCTCCCCTTGGAGTGCCCTACCAATCAAACGTGCATGCCACAAGTGTCCACAGACCAGCTAAACTAGGAATTTTTACTCTTATTTCGTGCCAGGGATATTACTTAGCAGTCTAGTGAAGACTATGGACCCTGTCTTAGAAAAATATTTTCAAATAAAATAAAATACACAGGATTACAAAAGAAACCAATCATATAGAAATATAAAATACCAAAATATTTTTCAAAATCTGTGATATATAACATGTGCTACTTATTACATAACTATGGTAGGCCTAATAATTATTTTCATTTTAAATCAGTGATGAGTATTAATGCTATTTTGAGATATCTGCTGCAACTGTAACATGATATGAAAGTACTAGGAATTCTATTGAAGACAAAGTCACAGGTACATCTAATAACTGGTTTATTGCCAACATTCGTAATTGAAGGAACTGCTTCATTTTAGTGAGGAGTTATAGAAAGCAAAGATAAAATTATTTTCCCATCCAAATTCACAGAATCCCTGGATTCTATACACTGATTCCAGGTCGACACCCTCAATTCCACCTATTAGTCCCGCTCCTGGCAGGCAGGCAAGGCAGGTGAGATGATCCCTATTTTAAAGGACTTGTCCAGCTAGCAAATGGTGAAGCCAGGATCCCAACACAGGTCTCTTGACTCATGGTCTAAGGTTTTGTCTGCTCCACTGCTACATCTACAACTGTTGGGAAAAAATTGGTATGACACACTTCTTCTCCTTGCTCATTCTGCAGGTAATTAGTACCGGCCTGCCTTCCCTGTATACAGTTTTTCGAGAATGGTTAACTAGTAACGTGCCTGACTTCAGCTGGGCTTGGACCTGTGCTGACCTACCTGACACCACATCACTGTTGTAGGTCAGCGCATAACGCTCATCAAAAACAAACAACTTCCCTTTGTAAAAGCCATCAGGAAACTCTTCCAGGTACTTGTGGATGCCACCCTTGAGCTGGAACACTTCCTTGCACACTCCCTAGGTGTGGAAAAACAATAGGAAATCTGAAAAGCCAAGCAGAGACCTGTTAAGAGGCTCCACAGAGGAGCGGCACCTGGCAAGGAGTGCCCAAATGGAGGACTCCCTGTCTGCAATCAGTCAGGGGCTCCTGGCCCCCCCGCAGGGCACTGAGCAACTGCTGACCAACTGGTCAGACCTTGTCTCCTAGGGGGATGGGTGATGACAGCAGTCAGGGCCTCTACCCTCTAGATCCCGGGAAGCCCAACTATTTTTGGGCTAAATATAGGAAGACACCTGTTGGGATATGTAATGTTACTGAATTTGCTCTTCGCAGGATCAAGCAAAAGGATTAGAAAAAGGGAGATGTTAACTAATCTTTCCCTTTTATTTTCGATGAGTCTCTAAGGCTGTTAAGTGTTTTTTACATCTTGAGATTAAAGAACCTCCGATTTTGTACTTACAAACTCTATGCTGGAGCCATACGAGGGGAAAATAAATCCTTTGGCAGGGTTGGGGTGGGGGCAGTAATGGGAGAGCGAGTGGAAAGCTCCACACAGGCCGTTGGTGGCGCCTTCTTCACCTCCATGCCCACAGTGCCCCGAGTGTGGTGGCTCACCTTGGCTTTGAGGTAGGCTGAACCCCGCTCACAACGGATGCCCCCAGTGCAGTACATTAGCACCCTCTTCTCTCTGAAAAGTTCTAGATTTTTGTCAACGTAGCTAGGGAAGTAACTGAATTTCCTGATGTCTGGGGCTAAGCAGCCCTGGAATCGTCCCTACAACATAGGAGCAGTGGAAAGAAAATTATCAGAAAAACATACCTGGTAGAAAGGTTCAGGTTCTTTCTGGGCAAAACAACCCCCACCTTGGCAAAGAAGCACAGAAGCAATTGCTAGTTACTGTTCCCATCCAACTTCATGTCTGACCTGTCAACTTCAAGATGTAGAACTTAAAACCAAGGCTGGTGGGCTGGGGGTCACCTTCCCAGAGTCCTCTGGGGAACTGGAGAGGCTGCCCAAAGCCAACTTCTATGAGATCCTTGACACATGTCAAGGGTAGGTTCACAGGAGTCAAAAAGTACATAATGTGGCAAGGTATCTTTTATTCATATTTTCTTAGAATTTCTCACCAGATCTAAGTTCAAGGGCTTGGGTTTTCTCTGAAGCTGCTAGTACTGGCTTGGCACAGACAGCATCCTCTTGGGAAATAGACCATGCTGCAGGAAGGGGGAGATCTACCAATTCACTGAACTCAATTCTGGCGCTTACTTACTATTTTGCTTTCATAGAAGTTTCTGCAATCCAGAAGGATAGTATCACTTTGTTCTTGATTTGCCTGCGATAAAAACTTTTCTACTTCTTTATGAAATTCACCCGGGGATAAATGAATTCCTAAAACCAAACCAAAAAATTATGTTAAAACAAAAAACCCAAAACTTTATCACAACTGGCCTAGCCTGACTTACGTGTTGTTTTCTTTCCATCCAAACCTCTTCTCTTCACAATTACAATTGTCTGAGAGTAACACTATGTCCTGATTATGATGAAATAATTTAGTAGTTCCAGGTATCCTCAATCTCCCTCCTAAGATGAGGACTATAGAGACCTGAGAGTTTAGAAATATTCACTCAAAGAATTTTGCATCCTTATACTTGGCCAAACCCCAGTGATAAAAACCAGATAATTAGGATCTAAGTTGCCATGTGGGTTTGCTAGTCTACTGTATGGTCACTAGCGGGTCAGGAAACAGCCACTGTTCTAATGTCACCATACACGGAGGAGCTCAGCATGTATGTGCTGGACTACAGGCTTTGTAAACTGTCCTATGCCCAGGTTGAGCCCAAGTTCAAGGCTAAGAACCCTAGCGTGGGCAGGTGTGAGCATAAAGTTGTGGAATAAAGTTGGAATGTATTTTTTAAAAATGCAAAAGGGTAAGAAGAATGTATCTAAGTATATATGCGTGAGTGAAAGAGAAAAGGGCTAGAAGGGTGGACAACAAGAATGACATATGAGAAAGAAAGGTGAGGGAGAGAAAAGAACAGAAGAGCTAGAAGACGGAGGAGAGAAGAATTAACATACAAGGGGACTAAAAGGAAAGAACCTCAGCCTGGTGGGCCCTTTGCCCCAGGACTCTCCAGGATAGAAATACGCCTCTATCTTTGGGAGTTCAGACTTCTCAGTAGATTGTGAGGAACTTTTGGTGAATTTGTACTGTGGGGTAACCACACCTCACAGGTGGGGCCCTGATGACTCCTTCACACAACACTCATGATAGAGCTTTACAGCACCAAAGGAGCTGCATTCCCCTCAGGGATTTTCCCAACAACCACCTGAAACTGCCCCATGTCAAAGAGATACGAGGCCCCAGAGCTCAGCCAAGGAATGTGGATTTCTACCTGCCTGACCTAGGGCTGCGGGGAGCATATAACAAGGCCACATTCTATATATTATCATTTATGGATACCAGAACAGTGGGGTGAAAAGAGAGGATAAAAAATGCAATGAGAAGCATGGAATCTGCTAAGACTTCTGCTTGCAGGGACCCACAGGGAACCGAACCTGCTGCCACTGCTGCTATTACTACTTTTGTTCTACTGGCCCCGAGAAGGCCTGTTTCGACAGTGACCTTCTGGATGTGTTTAAAAGGTCTCTTTCAACAACTCAGTTCAAATGAAAGAACAATAGCACTCACTGCCTGGAGCCCACTCTCCCTTAAACTCCTGAGCAATGTCCCATGGTGCCCAGAAAGAGCTGTTAATAGTCACACTCCCTGTGCTAAGAGGGGGACACTAGGCAGACACAGCTCTTTTTGGCCCTCATCTTCCCATGAGTATCTTTTCCCACATGCTGATATTACCCCCATTTTCCTCTGGCTTAACTCTTAACCTTCTTTTACATATTTACATTTTAAAAAATGAACACCACGGAGTCAACCAGAGCTTTGTACTTCCTGATGAAAGAAGACAATGCTAGCTATGAAGTAGTCTTGGGGGTAAAAAAAAGGAAAGAAAGAACAAAAGGAATCAAATCTGAATGTGATAGAGTCTGTAGTCCTGAGCTGTCTAACATGATAGCCAATAGCCACTGTGGCCGACAAGCACCTGAAATGTGGTTTGGGATGTGCTATAAGGGTGACATACATACTGGATTTCAAGGACTTAGTATGGAAAAAAAAAGGTAAACTATCTCACTAGTAATTTTTTATATTGATGACATGTTGAAATGATAATATTTTGGACATACCACATTAAGTAAAGCATATTATTTAAATTAATTCCAACTATTTCTTTTTACTTTTTAAAATGTGGCCATTAGAAAACATAAAATTATATTATATGATTCATATATTTCTATTAGACAGCCTTACTCTAAATCTAATTATCAATTTACAGGAAATAAAGAGGACAGAGAAATATACCATGGGGATATAATTAGTATTATACAGATTATGGGAAACTCTATAGGCCAAATGTCCCAGTTCCTTCAAAAAATAAACTGTAAGAGGGAAAAAAAAGATGGAGGCAAATCTATAGGATAAAAGACACTTAAAGAGACTCTGATGAATCACAATAAATGGACCTTGAATCCTAATGGAAACAAAGTTAAAAAATTATGAGACAGCTGGGAATTGACTGACAAGACTGCCTAGGTATGTGGTACTATATTAATACTAAGGAATTACTGTTAAAATGTTTTAGATGTGATAATAGTTTTACAGCTTTTTTTTTTTAAAAAAAATCTTTTATCTTTTAGAGATATTTACTAAAGTATTTATGAATGAGACAACTTGACATTGGGATTTCCTTCAAAATAATCCAAGATGGGAGAAGGGGATGGGTATAGATGAAAGTTAGCCATGAATTAGTTAACTGATGAAACTATGCAATAAGTACATGGAAGTTGACTGTACTATTTTCTCTACTTTTTTTAGTGTTTAAAAATTTTTTCTTTTTTTCTTTTTTGAGACAGAGTCTCACTCTATTGCCAAGGCTAGAGTGCTGTGGCATTGGCCTAGCTCACAGCAACCTCAAACTCCTGGGCTCAAGCGATCTTCCTGCCTCAGCCTCCTGAGTAGCTGGGACTATACAAGCATGCGCCACCATGCCCAGCTAATTTTTTCTACATATATTTTTAGTTGTCCCGCTAATTTCTTTCTATTTTTAGTAGAGACAGGGTCTCGCTCTTGCTAAGGCTGGTCTCGAACCCCTGAGCTCAAACAATCCATCCGCCTCAGCCTCCCAGAGTGCTAGGATTACAGGCATGAGCCACCGCGCCCGGCCTAATGTTTACAAATTTTCATAGTAAAAAGTAAAACAAAAACAAAACAATCCTGCCAAACAAATGTCTTTCAACCTTTTACTATGGGCAAGAGTGGGAGAGAACATTCTAGAGGACAGTGTAAACTGCTTTGGTGTTGAAAGCCACTTGCTTCCTGCAGCAAAGGCCCATGCGTTTTATTCTGCTGCTGAACTATTTACAAGTAATAATTATACTCTGCCCAAATTGCTGTCTTTGGAAAGAGAAAACAACTTCTTGCTAAACCATCACCAAGAATAATAAAACAGGCCACTCCAAGGGGGTGAGAATTCAATTATCACAGCACCATAGAGCAGTAGTCCCCAACCTTTTTGGCACCAGGGACCAGTTTCATAGAAGACAATTTTTCCGTGGGTTAGGGACCATAGCCATAGAGAATCAAGTTAAGCACAGGATGCACCCAAGTGTTAGCCACCCCACAGTTATTTTAAAGAGCAGATTTATCAGGACTCTTGCTGATCACAGTGCCTAACTTTCTTATCTGTCTCTCCATTAGGCTTTGTCCCTATGAAGAAAAGCATAATCTTCTTCTGAAAGCAAGCATACCAGGCTTCTTGTAGGAGATCTTACTGGGGCTGATCCCCATGGGCACGATTTCTTCAAATACACCAACACGCAATTCTGGAAAACAGTGAGCTCCTCCTTTGCTGGTCTAGCCAATGAGAAACAAAACAGAATACAGTCTTCCTTTCCCATCTCCAAGTATAAGTGCCAAATAAAAGAATGAGATTCTGTTTCGTAATAATGACAACTGAAGTCTTAAGAAACCTCAAATTAAGGGAAAAAAATCAGGAAATCTTAATGGGAAAAAGAAGGCCCAAGACATACAGGATAATTCAACATTAATAAATATTTATTGTGTACCTACCATGTGCAGGAATGTTAAGTTGAAGTGATGTTTCTTTGGCTCTAAGTATTTAATTATAAAACTGAAGCACCACTGAGCAATTCTAACATGTGATCACACCCAGCTTTTGTTTCAGAGAATGACCTTTCCTTTCCTATCGCCACCACCAAAAACACTAGCAAGGCGTTTCCATCACCTTATCACTTATCATGATAAAGCATAAAGTCACTCAAACAAAGCAGCTCTGCTGTGAGAGCAACGGCTTTATTCCCCCATGTGGTGTGAAGTACTAATCTTATAATTCCAGGTTTACTAAAAACACAGTGATCTGCTGGAACAGCCAGGTGGTCTCTCAAGTGAGTAAACATATCCAGGTTTTGAGTCCTAAATTGTAATACCCTTACTTTATAAGAAGGGACACTAAGGTCTAGTGAGGGCACCGACTTGTCCAAGATTGTATGGTGACTCAAGGGAAGAAGAGGACAAGCATGCTCCCTCCACCACACTGCCTCGTAACCTAAAGGGGAAAGGGTATTTTTCTGGCACTGCTTATTTCTTTATGTTGACCTCTTCAATAACCTGCACTGTGGCAGAAGCAGATAGCTCTAAATCCATTTTATTTTCATTTTCTTTTACCTTAAAATCATCCTTACACAGATAATCCTTAAACAATGGGCAAGAAAGCATGATTTCCACGTACAGTCTGGTAGCCAGTTTGCTTCCACCAACCGTCCCGTTGATTCCCTCTGTAGCAACTCGAACCTGAGACAGACACAAGATGGTAAGAAAAAGGGAATACAGTCTGTTCTTAGCTTAGTTATCTTTCCAGAGCAGAACAGGCTCATGTAAGTCAACGAGTTTAAAAGGAAAAGCAGAAACACTGCTGTGGACGCCGAAGTGTACTGGGCAAAGATACCTATGTTTTTCTAAAATGGCACAGCCTACAGTTCAGACAAGGTATTCAGTTCATGGGTGGTGAATAAGAGAATGTAAATAAAACTTTCGGAAAGCCCCACTTGCTACAGAACTCTAATGGTCCAATGGCCAAAGAAGTGAATTTTGAGCCTAACCTAAATCTAGGCAGCATAATAGAGTCCTCTGCAGAGGCCAGCAGATCTAGGATAAAGATTTAGCTTTGCCACTTACTTGTCATGTGCCCTGAGAGTTAATCGACTTCTTGAATCTCAATTTCTTCTTGTTGATAAAAAGCAGATAACAGAGCACCAAAAATGGAAAAAAAAAAGACAAAAAAAAAACCTTCTGAGGAGACACTACCCAAATCCTAAACATAGAGCATGTCTGATTGCAGGGAATATATGTGATATCTCTGCATGGTGTTTGGGGCAAGCCCACCACTACAAACCCACCTACTGGAATACAAGTTTCATGAGGGGTGTATGTCTGTTTTGTTGACTGATATATCCCTAGTGCCTACAACAGTGCCTGCCACATAGTAGGCACTCAACACATATTTGTTGAATAAATGAATGTGTATCCACAGCTTGGGCTCTCTGGTGTCTCAAACCCTGTATTCTCTTTGAAATGCTTCATTGGTTAGGGACATTAGAGCCTAGGGTAAAGCCCCTGCCTTAAGGCGCAATGCTCTGAGGGCCCTGCAAACCTGGCTGTTTTGGTACTACAAAATCCTCTGGATAAGTCTGGAGATGGATCATCTTTAGAGAACTGAGCTCCCTAGAAAAAAGTGCCAGAAAGTATAGCACTGTGTCATGGTACTTTCTGAAAAGAGAGGTGATTTAATTCAAGGTCTTGTATCATTCTACTATTCATACTTATGTAACACTGATACCTACCAATGCATTAGAATTTAAAAATTTTAAATGGCTGCCCGTTTTTAAAGTTCAGAGAAGACACCTGAGTTGTTGCCTCACTTGATCCAATTCTTTAGGCATGGATATAAAATCTCACCAGTCAATGCCAACTCACTGACAGTGGCTATCCAGAGTCCCATGATGAGGATTCCAGATCATATCCAGACTCCTTGAGAAAAAGTACTGCAGTCCAGTGAAGCCAGTTCTGGGCACAGGAGAGGCAAGCAGGACGCATATGGCATCTCTGCTGCACAGCCTACTATACTGTCAAATGATAGGGGACTGCGTAGAGAAATAGAGCTGAACTAGTGTAAGGGTCAGAAAATCCACTCCGAAAAGGTTTCTGACTGTGGTAGGTATGATAAAGAAGCACATATGTCTACGTAACTCTCTTTGGATAGGCTGGTTAATCTCAGAACCCAAATAGAAGACAAGCAAACCTACTTCCTACATAGCTAGGGCACAGCAATCTCTAACCTCATGCTCTAGACGTTCAATCCCTATGATTCTCTAACAGATATCCTTCAAAGAAGCTACTTGTTAAGCAAGGCCTTATATCTAAGAAATTGAGAAAAGCAATAGTTAGTATTTATTCAGCAATTTCTAAGAGACAGAAGCTTTACATTATAATCCTGAAAGGTAGATAGCATAATCCCCATTTTACGGAAAAGGAAACAGAAGCTAAGAGAAATCAAGTACTTGCCAAGGGCATAGAGTTGGTGATTGGTAGATCTAGGATTCAAAACCAGATCTTACTGACTCCAACTCTTGTAATTTTTCTTTCTAAGGTCTACAATGTGTACCCTCAAATTTCTTGAGGCGATAAGGACTATATAGTAATAGGGATAGAAGCTTATTTCCACAATTCTACAACGTTCAGGCTCTCCTCTTTCCCTACCTAAGCACCAACATTCTGCCAAATCTTCTACCAGCATAAAACTATCTCAGTAACTGGCCATGTATCCTTGAAGCCTAGGAATCTGGACTGAAGATCCAGGCAGGTGCTGCCACCTTGTGGGCAGGATCCTTCACTGCTAGTTCAGTACTTGGGCTAGACGAAGAATAAAAATCTGCCTCTAAAACAAGAAAAAGAGATTGATTTCATATTTTACATATTCAGGTTTACTGTGAGAGTTCTATCTTTCAAGGTTGGAAGTTCTCTGAATAGAAATGGTGATAATAAAAATGGTGATGAATGTATTCATTCCACAAATATTTACTAATTTTTTTTTTTTTACTATGCACCAGGAATTGTGCTAAGAATCAGGGATATAGTGGTTGAAAAAAAATATAGTTTTTCCCCTCTTGGAGTTTACAGGCAAAGGGAGGTCACAGATATTAAGATAAAAGTTACTAATGGACACGTGCTATGAAAAATAGCTAAAAGATGCTATGAAAGTACACTGGGAAAAATAAATTTAGATTGAAGGTCAGGAAAGGTCTCTTTGAGGAAGTGTCAGGAAAATTGAGAACTGAAGCCTGAGTAAAAATTAGATCGGAGAAACAGAGTGGGTGTAGGAGGGTTTGTTGAAGAGAGTTTGCTTGCAAAAAGGCCCAAAGACAGAAAAAAACTTGGTGGGTTCCAAGAAACCGAAAGACCACATTGCTGGAGTGTCATGAGTAAAGAAGAGCATTAAAAAGAGGAAAACGCAGGAGGCGCCAACTCCCACGGGAACCCAGGGTATGTTAAGGATTTGGGGTTTACTCCACACGAAAGATTTTGAGGAGAGTGATATGATTTCATTACCCTTTAAGTAACCATTCTGGCTGCTGTGTGGAGAATGGATTAAATGGCGGGCAGGGATGGCAGACTGGAGAGTAGTTCGGAAGCTGCTGCATGGACGAGGCACGAGAGGGTGTGGTTTGGTCCAAGGTGGAGGAAGAGGAAGAGAGAAGTGAACAGAGTCGAGAGCTATTTTAGAGGTAGAAATGGCAGGACTTGGTGATGAACTCAACAAGGTAAATGAAATCAGTATCTGTCAGAAAACGTGGGTATGGAAGGTATCATCGACTGATCAATTTATTAGCTCAGGAAATTAAAACCTGGGACATATATGGGAAAGATGAGTCATAAGATAGTACAGTGTCATAACCGGGGGGATCTCAGAGGGAACCTAGTTCACTTCCTTTTGATTTAGATTTTGAAAATTATATAAAATTCATACACACATGCATGTAATCATAGAAGGCATTCTAAAACCATCCATAACTCTATCATGGACAGATAATCATTACTAGCATTTTGGTACGTACTACCTTCCATCTCCATACATACACTTCTGGTTTTGTTACGAACACGCACTCATTCGTTTGTTCAACATTCCCCAAATATTTACTGAGTGTCTACTATATGCTAATCCCTGTTCTAGCACTGAGAATATATCGATTAATTAAGACAAAGTTTCTGTCCTCATGAAACTCACATTCTGTAAGGAAGGTAGACTATAAAGAAATAAATGAAGAATATACTTTCAGGTAGTAATAAATTTCAAAAGCAGAAAGAGATAGAGTGTGATGAGGTTTGGAGAGAGGACTACTTAGATTAGAGTTCTAAGGAGACAACGTTTGAGCAGAGATCTAAAGTGGGGCATGAGCCATTTGAAGGTATAGGAAGAGCATTCTAGAGGGGAAGGAAAAAGCAAATGTCAATATCCTAAGACGGTAAAAGACCCTGGCACATTCTAGGAAAATTAAGAAGCAACCTGAGATCACACCTATATGTACAGCTCTATAAAATGTTTTTCCAGTTAATATATCACGAACATTTCCCTACATCAGGAGTCAGGAAATTATTCCTGCTTTTGCATAATTTTATCTGAACACAGCCACACCTATTCTTTTACATTATTGTCTGTGGTTGCTTTCATGCTACAATATTGAGTAGTTTTTTTTGTGCAAAGCCTAAAATATTTACTAACTGGCTATTGAAGAAAAAGTTTGCTGATCCCTGGTCTATGCCATTAAATATTCTTATAAAACACCATGTTTATAGCTGTTTCATATTCTACTTAAATGCCCAGGATTTCCCTAACTTCTAAGAATCCAATAGTGAACCTTTTTAATAATGAGCACAACCTCTGCAATCCAAGGTTGGCAGGCAAGCCCAGTGAAGGGTGTGGGAGAAGGTGTTACCTTGCCTGTGAGGTGCAGGTGCTGACACAGAGCTGTCTGCCAGGCACACATCCACTGGGGATCCTCCAGGTCACAGTAGCAGTAATACAGTAACACCTCCCCTTCATCACTGCCCTGGCCACTGTAAAACCAGATGGAAAGAGTATTTGATCATTTCTGAAGGACGGCATTGCAAAAAACCCCCCAAAACCAACCAAAACAGACAAACAAAATGAGTCACTGACATAAGGAAACCACAATTCCAAGCATACCCAGGTAGTATCAGAGGGAAGGCTAAAATGGAGACATTCGACTGCCTTTGCTCCTACTATTGTTCTCCTGAAATGAGAAGTGACTCCTTTTTATATTTTCTGCATAGAAGACAGTGTCTGTGCTGACCTTTTTACTTTACAAAAATGAGTTTACTTTGATCTCATTTAATAGTCACATCCAAAAGACAGGTATTAATAACTCCGTTTTAAAACATAGCTGGAAATTTGAGTCCGTTCTGGCTTACCCTCTGTCACAAGGCGGTAATCTGTGTTGAATCTCTCATGATACAAAAAAGTTTCACTTCCATTTTTTCATAAAAGCCTCTTACCTCCAATGCAGGTTATTGTTATTCCCATTTTGCAGCTGAGTAAACTGCGGCCAACTCCTCCCAGGTGAGACAGCTACAAAGTGACAGTCAGGACTTGAATGCCAGTCTTCTGACACTAGAATCTATAATTTTTTTCTACTGCACTGTGCTTATACTAATTAGTTGTGGGACCCGGGTAGGTGTTTATAATTTCTGAGCCTTGGTTTCTTTACGTGTAAAATCAGAGAACTGAAATAACTGCTTTTCCCAAAATATACACTGAAGCTATTCTATGAAATCGCTCTGAGAAACCCTGGAGACAGTATCTCCCACTTTGAGATTCACAGCAAAAGCCCCTGAGTTTACTGAAGGCTCTGAGAGGTCCTGCAGTAAACATTTTAAGATAGTGCTTCCCAAATTTGTCTTAGTGTCCTTTTTCAATACTTTCTTAGCATCCTCCAGAACTAGTGCTCCACAGAACATTTTTTAGGGAATACTACAGTAGATGATAATTCAAGTCCTATCCAGCTCTGGAATCTATGATTCTCTCATCACTAGCCTCATCATATTTCAGAGCCTAATCTCCACCATGAAACCTTCTTGTATATCCTAGATCCTATTTTCCTTTCTCTGAACTCCTGTAACAAAATCTGTACATAATTCATATTGCAGAACTGGGAGGTAGGCAGGGCAGGCATTATTATTCTAATTTTAGAGGTGAGAAAATGAAGGTACAGAAAGTTTGAGTGACTGACTCCTAGTTCAATTCTCTTTCTCTTCTTTCTAATAAGCAAAGGGAATTTGACACTGAGTACTAATGATGAAAATGTATCATTAGTACAAATGATGAAAATTTGGACTACAGCAGACCCTCAAACAACATGGGTTTGAACTATGAGTCCACTTACATGTGAATTTTTCCTGCCTCTGCTACCCCTGAGACAACTCCCTCCTTCCTCCTCCTCCTCTGCCTACTCAATGTAAAGACAAGGATAAAGACCTTTATGATGATCCACTTCCACTTAATGAATAATAAAAATATTCTCCTTATGATTTTCTTGTAACATTTTTCTCTAGCTTACTTTTTTGTAAGAATACAGTATATAATATACACATAACATACTAATATATGTTAATCTACTATTTATGTTATCAGTAAGGCTTCTGGTCAACAATAAGCTATTAGTAAGTAGTTAAGTTTTGGAGGAATCAAAAGTTACACACGAATTTTCAACTGCTCAGGGGATCAGCGCCCCAACCCTTACACTGTTCAAGGGTCAACTGTATTTCTATTTACCAAATAATTCAGAAATTGCTTAAGTCAGAAATATGTCCTCTGGGCCGGGCATGGTGGCTCACACCTGTAATCCTAGCATTCTGGGATGCTGAGGTGGGCGGATTATTCGAGCTCAGGAGTTCGAGACCAGCCTAAGCAAGAGCGAGACCTCGTCTCTACTAAAAAAAATAGAAAGAAATTATCTGGACAACTAAAAATATATAGAAAAAATTAGCTGGGCATAGCGGCGCATGCCTGTAGTCCCAGCTACTCGGGAGGCTGAAGCAGAAGGATTGCTTGAGCCCAGGAGTTTGAGGTTGCTGTGAACTAGGCTAACGCCACGGCACTCACTCTAGCCTGGGCAACAGAGTGAGACTCTGTCTCAAAAAAAAAAAAAAAAAAGGAATATGTCCTCTGGAATTCTGTAATATTATGATTTGGTAAGTTTTTCAAAGCCAGGATCTCAATTTATAATCCTATGATTCAGTTCTGAAAGTTAACATCCTTCCTCAAACATATTCAGCTCAGAAAACTGCATTTGGTAATAGAAACCCTTTTGAAGCTCTAACATTATCCAGAGAAATCATTAACGTCTTCAGGTCTTCCCACTTGTATTTGAAAATAATGCAATTTTCTGTTCTTTATCTCTCCCTAGAGAAGACAGTATGTAGGATGGCTTCCAAAAAGCCTTGGGAACATTGCAAACTGACTGGGTATATGCTACCGTACAGGCTATGGTCTTCTACTATACAGAGTATGTATGTTATTGGCCTAACTTAGGCCCATAGAGAAATTCCATGTCTTAAGGATCTAGCTCAAAGTAGTTAAGATCCCAATAGACTAGATAAACAGAGCAGACAATGATACTAGATAATGCACACTGAAAAGTAACAACTCTGAGGTACGGTAACCAGCCTCCAAGATGGTTCCCAATGATCCCCACCTCCTAGTATTTAGGCCTCTGTGTAGTCTTCTCCAACACGGTATTAAGGTTGGTCTGTGCGACCAGTAGCATCAAGAAAAAGTGATAGCATGTCAACACTGAGATTAGGCCATAAAAGATTGTGGCTTCTGTCTTTGTGGCTCCATCTCCCTCATATCACCTGCTCTTGGAGAAGCCCGAGAGGAATGGAGGCCTCTGACTAAGAGCCAGTGAAGAAACCGAGGCCTACCACCAACCACATGAGTGAGCTCAGAAGTGGATTCTCTGGCCCCAAACACTGAGATGACTGCAACTTCATGAAAGACCCTAAGCTAGTACCACCAGCTAAGTTGCTCCTGGATCCCTAACCCTCAGAAAGTGCATGAAATACTGTTTGTCATTTTAAGCTGCTAAACTGTGGGTTAATTTGTTACACAGCAACACACAGCCAATACAGAGGGTTTGGATCTAGAATGATGAGAGAGAGAGGAGACGTATCAGAATAATAAGTTTGAGGCTTCTTAGTAAAAGGACAAACTTTTATACCTGGGCATCTTACTTAAAAGTTCATACTGATGGCATTAAACCACTCAGAAAAAGTTCAATCACATTCACCATTATCTGTTTAAGAAACTAGAGAAGAGTATCATACAGTTTGAAAGACTCCACTTTAAAAAAAAAAAAGGTTCAAGTTTAGATGCTTTAAAAGGTAAGCTACATTTAACTGCTTTCTGAAAAATTAAAAAATTAATGATGTGGAACACTATATCCCCCCATAAATCCTAATAAATGATGCATTTGTCTGGGTACATATATCTGAAATCATCTGACAAGGGCCTTTTTTTTTTTTTTGGTTTTTCTTGCTTAGTTTTTATCTACTCTATTTATTTAAAAATATAAATTATCAAGGTGTAATTTATAAGTGAAATACTCAGATCTTAGGTATACAGTTTGATCGTTTTTGACACATGTCAAAATTTGTATAATCCACACCCCTATCAAAACACATTTTCAAAACCTTGAAAAATCACCTCTTGTGTATTCCTAGTCAAACCCACTGCCAGAAGCAACCTATCACAAGCTCGTTGTGCCCTTAAGTACATGAAATCAGAAAACATGTACTCCTTTTTCTGGCTATTTTCACTCAGCATAAGGATTCTGCAATTCACCCAAACATATTCCTGCATATCAGCACTTCATATCTGGTTATTGTTGTGCAATAGTCTCATATGGCTTTTCAGTTTCTTCATTCTCCCGTTGATAGACACATATAGTTGTTTCCAGGTTTTTGTTATTATGAATCAAACTGCTATGAAGATTCTTGTACAAGGCTTTTTGTGGACATGTTTTTATTTCTGTTGGTTTTATACTCAGGAGGGGATCACAGGAACGATATTTAATTTTCAAAAGAAATTTCCAAACACTTTTCCAAAGTGGTTGTGTCATTTTACATTCCCACCAGCAATGGACTGGTTGTTGTTCCACATTCTCATCCACATTTGGTGGAGCTGGTCTTTCTCATTTAGCAGGGAGGTTGCAGTATCTCATTGTGGTTGGAAAAATAGTAAAATCAAACCAAAATGCAGAATGAAAATCTTACCTTATCAGCTCATCAGGGCTAATGCAGCTTACATCAGGGAGCCAAGCAGACATTTCATGGCTATGCATAAGGCACTCTTTCCCCGGGTTCTTCTGGTCTGCAGACATAAGACTCTTTGAGGTGCTCAACGCTGCAGCCAGCTGCTTTAAAATAGATGCAGTCTGTTCGTAAATTTCATTGGCATGTTGTGTTGCCACATGTCTATGGATGCTGGTCTGGTCTGTGAATGATTGCTGACAGCATTTCCACCATTTTTCTTTACATTCAAAATTCCTTTTTGCTGGAACTTCTTTGGTTTTGACGAAAAGGGCAAAGGCCTGCAATTACATTTCACATATTAACACCGTTAAATAATCTTAGGTTTAAAGCTAATGGACGTCTCAATGAAATCTCTTATATTCTCTTTCCACGGGGATTTCCAGTTTTATGTTCTACTACTGTATAGAAAAATTCCCTGAGAAGTAACAGTTCTCTTATTAGTAAGCTTTAGAAGACATTAGAGAATCTAAATCTGGGCATTATGGAGGTTAAATAATTCTTAGTTCCACAATTTTATTCTTAGCATATAAGACTCTAAGTCACACTGCAATATATTTATGTATTACAGTTTGGCCTTGTACTGCTTTCAGCAGCCCAAACACTAAAACTGGAATAATATGGTATGGTATATCCCGACCTTCCACTGCTGGCCCCTCTCCCAACTTCTCCTATCCTCCCCGTCCACACATGCCTGACACGTGGCCAAACCTGGACACCTTGCTGTTACTACTACATCTTTCTGGCTTTGCCTATACTGTCCCCAATAGGCAAGTATGTGCTACTCTAGCCTCCTCTTCTCCAGGATTGCTTTTAAACTTTCAGATTCCATCTGGAGGCTCCCCCAACATGAAACATCCTATAGTCCTCCTGCTAAATGCTATTTCTTCACCTTTTGAATCTTTGTAAAAATTTCTATTTTTATTTTTCCACTTAAAGAGGGTCTAAAGTTGTAAATACTGGCTCTGCCATTTACTATTTGTATCTTTGAGAAAAGATACAAATCTTCTGAGGAAGTTATTCAACCTTTAGGTGTTGAGTCATTATCTGGAAAACATAAGCCATAAAGAATTACATAAATGTTAATCAACATAATTAGAATTTTTTTTCGAGACGGTCTCACTCTGTCGCCCAGGCTAGAGTGCAGTGGTGTCATCATAGCTCACAGCAATCTCAAGCTCCTGGGCTCAAGCGATCCTCCCACCTCAGCCTCCTGAGTAGCTGAGATTACAGGCACGTACCACCATGCCCAGCTAATTTTTCTATTCTTTGTAGAGACAAGATCTCACTCTTGCCCAGACTGGTCTCAAACTCCTGGGCTCAAGTGATCCTCTTGCCTCAGCCTCCCAGAGTACTAGGATTTATAGGTGTGAGCCACGACACCTGACCCAATTAGAATTATTTATGTCCTTGCCTGGTACAGAATGTAGACAAACTGCTAAAAGGAGGGGATTTCAGTCAATGGCTTCTGAAAAAAAAGAGAAATGGCATAGAAGAGTAGCAGCAATACCACCCTCATTGTAGCCCAATCCCAGCTGTATTCAGTAAGCTTGCAGCATTCTAGTATGCTTCATCCCTTCGCCAAACCACTGGAGGCCAGTCAACTGGGCCAGATCGGAAATCTTACCTAAGTCAGCAGGGTTCAGTAGTTGTCTCAAGTTTATCAGCCTCACTAGATGACAGCTACCCTACTGCCTGTCTGTTCTTATGAATAGGTTTCCTGGGTTCCTGGGATTTCTCCCACAACCTTAGGTGGGGAAGAAAATCTAACTCATTTGTCTAGAATCTACCCTTCCTCAAGTACTCCACCAAGGCTGTTCCAGGGCCACACGTCACCTACGATTCTTCTTTGCTTAGAGCTGAATTAACAACACTGGTTGAAGTCCCTGAGTAGACCTTATCCTGAGCTGGAGGGCAACCTTGATAAGCTACTTCTAAATGTACCTACATTAACTATATGTACATGAACCTGAAACATCGATAGCAATTTTACCTTTTTCCTTGCAAATGAGTATTTCTTCTTTGTACTGGCATCTAACTCTGCTTTCAGACAGCTGCTGGGATTAATAAGACTTGTATCTTTTAAATCCAGGTCAGAAAATCTTAAAACACAGGCCTCCAGGTCATCTCCTTGGTCTGGTGAAGTAGAAGAAGGCATCTGGTTTGGTCACAGGAGTAGGGCAGAGATTCCTTTCCGTTAAGTACCTCCTAGAATACAAGCAAGGGAGAAACAGCAATGCCACTCTTTGATTACTTCTTGAAGTAAACATGAAGGTAATCAACCATGTAGATCAGCATGGGCCCAGCAGCCCAAGCTATCCATTCATTCACTTGCTCATGGAATAGTATTTATCTTGCAACTACTTTTAAGTCTAGCACTGTTCTACGTGCTGGGGATACAGCAATGAATGAAAAAGTTTCTGTCTTCTTAGAGTTTATATTTCTGTGGGGTGAAGTAAACAGATACATAAACTAATCTAAAAAGAAGTCAGATGGTGAAAATATTATGAAGATAAATAAGCAGGTTAAGGAGGGCAGAGTGATAGAGGGGCCCTTTAAACGCAGAGGGTAGGAAATGCCTTTACTAGACATGGTGACTCACATCTGTAATCTCAGCTACTCAGGAGGCTGAGGCAGAAAGATAGCTTGAGCCCAGGAATTTGAGGTTATAGTGAGCTATGGTTGGGCCACTGCACTCCAGGCTAAGCAACAGAGTGAGACCTTGTCGAAAAGAAGAAAAGAAAGAAAGGAAAGAAAGGAAAAAAAGAAAGAAAAACCTTACTGAGGCTGTAGCATTTGAGCAGAAACCTGAGTTAGGGTGCAAGCCATGCAGACATTGAAGGTAAATGATACCAGAAAAGCACCTCATACAACGAAAATCAACCAAGCTGTGCGCTAGGAACTTCAGTTATGAATACTTTGTTCTTTCCCCCCCCTAATTTCTGAGCTTTGCAAATTTCCTTCCTTAGAAGAAATAGCTGCTGAGAGACCTCCATTGTAATGAGCCAGAAGAAATACTGAAATTCCTACAGTGGCCAAATCTTGTCAAAATGACACACTACAAACAACATGTTACGTTAATTCTTTTGTAAAGACAATGTTACAGGTGACAAGGCGACATGAAGCACTGAGAAAAGCATGGTCTTTGCTTTGTGGTGCAGCAAATATGTAAACCTAGGAAAGCTATTTAACTTCTCTGAGTTCTAATTCCCTAACTTGGAAATTGGGGATGATAGTGTCTACCTTGAAGGGCAGCTGTAGTGAGGACTGGAAAGAAACATATAAAGTATCTGGCACATAACAGGGTTCAATGAGTGATAATATCATCAATATTTCAATTTAATTTAATGTTGTATTTTAAAATTTAACATTAAAATTTGATTTCTCTAAAAATCATCTGTGGTGGGTTGTATTTTCCAAAAACGGCTGTAGCAGTATTTCTGGTCCATTTCTCCAGAAATATAAGCAGGCTTGTAACACTCCCCATCATCTATCCTACTCTGGCCACACTGACTGTGCCTAGTTCCACGAACAAGTCATGCTCTCTCCTGCCTCAGGGTGTCCACATGTGTCTTTCCCATCACTCCAAAACGATCTCCCCTCACTCTAAATCTTTCAGTCTCATCTTATTTTAGTATATTTATGTATTCTGAACTAGTATTTGTGGTGCCTCTGCTAATGTGCATGGCACAGAGAACAGCACTGGGGATGCAGCTCTGAAGGAAACAGTTGAAGTCCCTGCTCTCTTGGAGCTTATATTCTAGTAAGGAGAGACACTAAGTAAGTAAACAAATGAAAAAACAAAAAGAAAATGCCAGATAGTGACAAGAGCCACTGCTTCTCAGTTTCCTTTAGCTGGATCTTCCTTATCATTCCAACCTCTAAATGTTGAAACACTCTATCCATATTCATACTCTAGGTGACCTCATCTACTCGTAAGACTTAATAATTGGGGGAGGGGAAGTAATATAGGTGAAACCAGATTGGCCATGAGTTGATAATCACTGAAGCTGGTGATGAGTACATGGAGGTTCATTATATGATTTTCCCTACTCTTGTAAATATTTGAAACCTCCATGAAAAACAGAAACATAAATAAAGGAAAATTTATGTTTAGGATACTATATACGAATAAATACTAAATTTCTATCTCCAGCCTGGGCGTCTCTTCTGAACTACAAGTTTACACAACCAAACTGACCGAACAATCTATCTATCTATATGGCTGGCTAGCTGCAGCTTCACTTTCAAACAACTGTTCAAAACAAAATTCTGCTCTTCCCCAGTCTTATCTCATAAAAGACAATTTTATTCTTCCTGTTACTGAGATAAAAAAACTTTTGGGTTTTTTCGTTTTTTTTTTTTTTAGAGACAGGGTCTCACTGTCACCCAGGCTACAGTGCAGAGGCACAATCATAGCTCACCACAACTTCGAACTACCCAGCTTCAAGTGATCCTCCTGCCTCAGCCTCCTGAGTAGCTAGAACTACTCAGGCACGCACCACCATGCCCGGCCAATTTTTTTTATTACTTTTTGTAGAAAGGAGATCTCACTATGTTGCCCAGGCAGGTCTGGAACTCCTGGAACTACGCTTCTTTAAGAGTAAAAGAAGTAACTATTAAAAAATAAGTCAGATCTTCCTCCAAGGACTTCTCAACTTACTCGGATAATGTCCAAAGTCCTTATAAAGCCCCTTCCCCCACCCCTCTGATCTCGTCTTCTACTACTCTCCCTTTGCTCACTATGGCTGACTGCATTACTTATGCCCATTCCTGAATGGGTCATTACAATACCAGCTCCAAGAGAGCAAAGGATTTTCTTCCTTTGCTACCTCTGAATCCTCAACATGTAGAACACTGCCTGGCACACAGGAGGCGCTAAATGTTAATAAATACAATACTCTCAATGAAATAAAACAGCAACTGGGTAGCCAGGGAAGACCTCACTAAGGACCTGACGTTTGAGCTAAGATCTAAGTGACCAGAAGGCAGCCATTCAGATTTAAGAATAGATTTCCTTCAGATTACAGGAAATAGTGAGTATAAATTCTTAAAATAAGAACAGGCATCACTTACTGGCGTAGTAAGAAGAAAGCGAGAGTGGTCGTAGCACAGCGATGAACGCGTAGAACCCCACAGGCCATGGTACAGAATTTTCAATGGAAAATCACTGGAGAGTTTTAAGCAAAGGAGTAACACAGTTCGATTCTGGATTTGTTTTGAAAATAGAGCCGGCAGGGTTTACAAATAAATTGTTAAGCAGAAAGCGAAAGAAAAGGACCTAAGAATGACTCCTCCCTAAATTTTTGGATTAAACAACCGATGGATGGTGTCGTTTACTGAAATGGGTAAGACCGAAGAAGAAATCCCGTAGAGTGAAATTTCAGATGACTATGGACAGGCAGTTAGATAAACCAGTGTGATGCTCATCAAAGATGTTAGGGCAGGGAACGTTCATACACCTACATGTATATAATCACCCAATAACTACTGAAAACAGATTACTAAAACAATCATTTGTTCCTTCTTAAAGAAACAACTCAGGGAAGTGCGAGGTAAGCCGAAGTCCAGACGGTAAGCCCGGAGCAGCAGGCTCGCGTCTGGGCCGGTCTTTTGGTCCCAAGGGGCGGCACCACGGCGCCGCCTCCCGCCCAGGCCCCACCCAGCGTGCCAGGCCCGGCCCAACCTCTCCACGCAGCCTTCCCGAGGCGGCAAAAGCCGGAAAGTGGGAGTAAGATGAGCACGTACCCGCCAGTCCTGATCCTTTCCTAGGTCTTTCTTCCCTGAGCTGTCTCCGCCTAGCAATTGTCACTCCTCTCCGCCCTTCGGCCTACAACCCCGCCGCGTGTTTGCGTCGGGAAGAACTCTCGCGACGTCACCGCGCTCCGGAAGTGTCCGAGGCCGTAAGCGCAGGGGCCGCCGGGAAAGCCCTCTGGCCCCAAGAGCGGGCCTAAGAGGGGGCGGGGACTGGAGCGGCCTCCTACACCTCCCGCGTTCTGGCACATGCCTCTCGCGGCCGGCAGGCAGTGGCTGGCAGAAGCGGCGGTACTTTCTGCGTGGCCCCGGAAGGACATAGAGCGGAAGGCGGGAGAAGGAAGCAGCCGGCAGGGTAGGCGGCCCGAAGGGGCGGTTGCATGCGGATCGGACGTTCGTAGCCCAGTGAGCTTCCACACGCCGGCTCTCGCGGACCCGAGCCCACCCGACGGCCTGTCTTTGCGCTTCGGGACGGCGTCTGCGCTAGTGCGCCTGCGCCCCGGCCGGCCGGTGCGCCTCGCCGCTGTCCTCGCGCCGGCTGCCTGCCGGACGGTTCCTGCCGCGCTTACCGCCCAGCCTCTCCGCTCGGCAGTGCATCGGCGGGCAGCATGTCGCGGCGGCGGCACAGCGATGAGAACGATGGTGAGTGCCTTAGATCCGGCCGCGGAGGCCATCCCGGGTGGGAGCTGAGGTTTGCTTTCTTTTGGTCTTCGGCTCTCCTGGGAACAGACGGGAAACCCTCTACCCGGGAGCTTCAGGGAACTACGGAGGGAAGGTGGGTGGTACAGTGCGGGTGTGGCCGGGCGGCTTTTGGAAAGCGACTGCTCCACCCACCCCCCGCTCCCCAGTTCCTTTAGTCGTGGACCCATCATGGGGAAAGGAGGCCTGGTGAAACTCCATGGATAGACCCCAGGTCTCTAAGGACTCTTCAGAATTTGGTTTTCAGTACCGCCGAGCGGAGAAGTACACCTGTGTCTGTGCTGACTCCTCTTAGGGTCGGTGACACGGACCTACTGGTCCCTGTATCTCGTTTTAACATTCCAAGCTGCACCTGAGAAGGCTCTCAGAAGACTTTGCTGAAAGAAAAGGAACAAAGCCGTGACTGAGATCTGATGAATTGCAGTCTGAACTCTCTCTGCTGATCATCCGCTGATTTTCCTTCTTTCAAGCTACAGGGAAAGAATTTTGCCTCTTATCCACACTCAAGGAGGTCGCTAATAAACAGACACATGTTGTTTCGTTAGATTTTGAACCGGTTGTAAGTATTTTCCTAGTGTAAGGAAGAGTGCTAGAAAGCTAACTGGAGAGCACTGAGAGATTTGGACCAGGGGCTCCCATCTCCATGTGGATGGTTTTGCTCATGGGGATCATGGTATTGTCATCACAAAACTAAGAATGATTTTGGTAGTTTAAACAAGAATAAGATGCTTATATTACACGTAAACATTACAATCAGCCAAGAACACACATCCACACACGAAAAAGTGAAACAGTAATCTGTTAATATCAGTGTATTTTTCCTTGATGAGAGTGTATAATAGTGGTTAAAATGCAAGACTTTAGAACCAGAGGGTTTAAGTTCAAAACCAGACCCCACTATTTATTTTGTGATCTTGCTCAGGTTATACAACCTGAAACCTTAGTGTGTAATGTAGAAGTAATGATATTTACCTCTTCTGGTTTTTGTGAGGGTTAAATGAGATAACACATGTAACCAGTGGCTCATGATGCGGTTTTATTTTATCATCCATTAATGCTTAAAAGGTGATACACATTGTCAGATGGCAACAATGTAAGAAAAAACAAAACGAAAGTTGTAGTTGAGTAAGCTTTCTCTACTAACATTTTTCTCTCCTTGAATGTTGGAGCAGTTAGGAATGGGAGCAGAATCCCAAGTATTTAGTTTTAGCAGTGGAACACCAGATTTCTGCTAGGGCATGGCTTGAGAGGATAGTAGTCTAGTACAGCCTTTTCATCTGACGCCTAAACCTAAGAAGGAGTTTAGAGACTGAGTATAATTACCATGGAGACACAGCTGTCGGTGCCCAGACACCAATAAGAGCAAGCTCAGGGCTTGCTTAGCTACAAAGGTGTAACTACATCGCATGCTTTGACTTTTAACACAGGAGGCTTCTTGTATAACCCCTGTACGGTGTACAGAAAATACAATTTTTGTATGCTTTGTAATTGACTAATCAAAAACTACGCTTGGAGTCATCACTTGGGGTTTTAGAGAATATGAGACTTCTTGTTCTTCCCATTTTCTTTGCTCTTCATATGCTTTCTTTTCTCCCTTCTAGGGCATCCCTAAAGGGAGGAGAACACCAGAATTGGAATGCAAATATCTAGAAAAATAACTTTTGCTTGGTTGTTGAGAGGCTAGGCATAGCTTTCTTGGATTTGGCTTCTTTTTAATACCTGCTAGCAGCTAAATCACTGTCTATTTGAGTCTTGCTGCAGGAACCTCAGTAAATAAGACAGAGAAGTAAAATATGGCATTCATTAAACAAAGTTTATTATCGTGGATAATTTAGTAGGAGAGAGGCAGATCTAATTGCTCTTCAGTAATACACTAATCCTGGAAGTTTGGTAAGTTGCCACAATTTGGGTAATGATTAGATCTGAATCAAATATTTTTGATGCTTTGTATTTAGCTAAACATCTACTACTTTTTTAAAATGAAGAAATATTTGAAGTTTAAAATGTTAGAGAAGGCTATTTTAAAGTAGACTAGGAATTCTTAGAGTAAAAAATAAATACATGAATCTGAACATTTCTGGATTATTGTCAGCTCCTATCAGTCACTGACTTAACTTTGCATATGCTTGACTAGATATCATTTATTCAATAAATATATAACAGTGCCAGCCTCTATCCTAACTACTTGCAATACAGTAGTGGACAGTGTAAAGATGGAGTCTCCCTTCTAGAATGGAGAGAGGGAAAACAATCAAGTAATGAATAGTGTATCATGGTGACCAGTACTATGGAGAAACATAATGTCGGATAAAGGGGGTAGAGAATAATGTGAAGGAGAAGTTACTATTTTATGTAGTTGGTCATGGAAGACCTCAGTCAGAATGGCATCAGATCAAAGACCCGCAGGAGATAAGATAGCAATCCCTGTGGCTGTATGGGAAAAAGCAGTGGTCCAAACAAAGGGAACCATGAGTACGAAGGCTTGAAGGCTAGAGCATTCCTGTCGTGTTCACAGAACAGCAAGGAGGCCAGTGTTAACCAGAGCAGAATGGACTATTCAGGGAGATGGGGTAGAAGACTATACCAATGAGGTTCATGTAGTAGTCAACTTATAGACAAGGAAAGGGAAACCATAAATGAAAAGTAATGTGTATGAACACTA